GAAAAAAAGGAGACAAAGCGAGAGGAAGAGAGAGAGACAGATAGAGGAGAGAAAGCAAGATTACGGAGAAAAAGAGGAGGGAAAGATAGAGACTGAGAGAGAAAAAAGGAACAGAAAAACAAAATGAGATAGAGGAAAAAGGAGAAAAAAAGGGAGATGGGAGATAGGAAAGAGAATAAGGAAGAAAAAAAGAGAAGAGGAGAATGGGAGTAAGGAAAGTGAGATTTAGACAGAGAGAGATGGAAAGAAAGAGATTAAGAAGAGAGGGTCAGAGAGGACAATGAAAGATTGATGAAGGAAAGATAGAAAGCAAAGATTGAAGAAGGAGAGAAGAGAGAGGGGAAGAAGATATAGTTAGAGAGAGCACAAACAAAGAGAAATTAAGAAAAAAGAGAAAATGACAGAGAGAGAAGTGAGAGACAGAGAAAAGGGGGGTGAGAGAGGTGTCTTCTCAGATCTTTAGGTTTGATCCTGTCTGAATTCATTCCCTCTCTCCACAGGGACTCACCAAATCAGTCAAATGATTGAGAGTGAGAGAGAACAAGGTTCTCCTCAGTGTAAAGTCCACATTGTGATTGGTCACTTTCATCACATTCTGCAGCTAAATGTTTAGCCTTAAAGATGCCTCACAATGCTTCACCACTTACATTTCTCAAGTAGCTAATGCCTCAGATTCCCACAGCATTATTAAAGGTGGGAATGTGTATGAGCACGAAGGAATGTGAGGGGGGTGTGAGAGAGGGGGAATGTGAGAGAGAGGGGGAATGAGTGTGAGAGCAGGGCAATGTGAGAAGAGAGAGGGCAATGTGAGAAGATAGTGAGAATGAGACAGAATGTGTGTGAGAGAGGAATGAGAGAATGTGTGTGAGAGGGCAGGATGTGTGAGAGAGGCTCCCCCCCCAATAATATTATTATAATAATAATAATGTATGTGAGAGATGGGGGAATGTGTAAGAGTTGGGAATTTGTGAGAGAGAGGGAGAATGTGAGAGATACAGAGAGAGTGGGGGAATGTTGGAGAAAGAGACAAGGAGGGGGAAAGTGAAAGACGAGAGGAGATATGAGACAGAGAGGAAATAATAAAAATAATAACCTTTGAATTTGATATAGCGCCTTATCATATCATTGAGATCATCGATATCTCATTGATATCTGAAATCACTTCACAGAATGTACTGCAAGGTGAATTGACTATTTTTGTGGGCAGAATGAGGGAGTGAGAGAGAGAGAGAGAGAGAGAGAGAGAGAGGGAATGTGAGAGATAGATAGAGAAAAAGGGAGAGGGAAAGTGAGAGAGAAATTGGTGAGGGGGTGCAATATGAGAGAGATAGAGAGGGGAGGTGAGACAGAGAGAGATAAAGAGACAGATTGTTAGAGAGAGGGGAATGTGTGTGCGAGAGAGAATGGGGGAGGAATGTGAGAGAGGGAGAAGATGAGAGAGTGTGGGGATTGCGAGATACAGCGAAAAGGGGAATGTGTATGTGTGAGAGAGAAGGGTAGATGTGAGAGAGGGGATGTGTGAGCATGGGGAATGTGAGACAGAGATAAAATGAGGTGTGTGTCAGAGAGAGAGGGGATTCAGAGAGAGAAGCAGGGGTGTGAGACACAGAGGGGGAGAGGGAATATATGCGTAAGAGAGGTAGGGGTGGAAAGTTAGAGAGAGAGAGAGAGAGAGAGAGAGCAGCAATGAAAGAAAGAGAGGTGGGTAAATGTAATACAGCGAGGGAGGTAGAGAAAAAACTTGAGGAGGGAGCCTGGCCCACATTCCTCAAAATAAAAGTTCACTCCATGGCTGTTTGTAGGACAATGCTGTGTGCAAACTGGCTGACATGTTTCACCTACAAAATACACAGTCACTACACTTTACAGTATATCTTGTGAAGCGTTTGAGACATCTGAACGATGTGATAGGGCACTGTGTCGAATATAACACACTTTCCTATCTGCTGGACATTGTATGAAAGGATGTTCTAGTCCACATTGCTCAAATATCTCCTTGTTTCCTTTTGTCTAGGTATGTATGTTGACTGTGCTCTGTATTCTTCATTTGTGTTACTCCAACTCCTCCTGCTCGCCAGTTCATCAATTTCCATCTCTTGTTCCCCATGTTGCTTAAATTCTTTCCTATGTGCTTCAGACATTTCTTTACGTTTATTATTTGTTACGCTTTCTGTAACTTTCTTTCTGTTTCAGAAGTTTGGTCCTTATTGTGTAGCCCTTAAATCACAATTTAATCTCTTATCAGCCACTCTCTCAGGGCTCCATAATTGCTGAGCGACTGTAATACAGCATAATATTGGGCATATAGTTCCACAGGCCCTTCTTTCCTTGTGTCAAACTTATCGCTGTCAACTATTATATTGTTCTGCCCATAACACCATTGTCCCATAACATCACTACATCCTCTAAAGCCATGTCTATGTCTCTTTCTAGGGTCTCAAAATATTCTCCAGCATCATCCCCTGCTACATTTAGTAACATGGCAGCTTTTTTTCTTGCTGTTATCTTGATGTTTTCTTGGCAGCTGCAGCATATTGGTGGCTAAGATAAATACTGTGAAATCCCATTCAAACTGGTTTAAAATAATGAAGGGATTCAATAGGACAGATGAAGATAAACTATTTCCTCTGCTAGGGGAATCCAGAACAAGGGGCACCATCTTAATATTAGAGCTAGGCCATTTAGTAGGCAGTTTTTCCATCTAAAGGGTAGGTCAGGGTATTAACGGATATGAGACAAGGGCAGGTCATCCACTTGTCATCCCACTACCTGTCTTTTTATATTTTCTCTCATTGGCTCCTTGTCAATTGTCCAATTAATCCTAAATGAGTATTCAACAAAAGGTACGATCTGAACCAGTCAAGGACAGAACAATGTAGGTTGAGGTGAATGAGTGGTCAATGGTGTTGAAGGCAACAGAGAGGTCAAGGAAACCGAGGGGGCAGAGGGAGCTCTGGTCACAGATGGACAGAATGTCATTTGTCTCATTGACCAGGGCTGTTTCTGTGCTGTGGGTGGTATGAAAACCTGATTGGAGGGGTTCATGAAGGGAGTGGTGGGAGAGGAAGGAGCGAACTTGGGAAGCAACAACTTGTTCCAGGACCTTGGAGAGGAAAGGGAGGTTGGAGATGGGACAGTAGTTTGGGAGTAGAGAAGGGTCCAGGGAGGGATTTTTAAGGATAGCAGTGATGACAGTGTTTTTTAATGGGGTGGGACCTGCACCAGAGGACAGGGAGAGGCTTATGATGTCAGTGAGTAGAGGGCCAAGGAGGTGGAGCTAGGAGGTAAGAAGAGTGGTAGGTTGGGGTTGAGGAAGCAGGTGGTGGGCTTCATATGGGTTATGATGCTAGTGAGAGAGGATGGGGAGAAAGGTTTGAAAGTGTGGAGGATGGGATGGGTAGGGGCTGGGCTGTGAGGGAGAGATGTGGAGGGATTGCATTTGACTGCTGAATGGATCCCCTCAATTTTAGACTTGATGAAATCCAGCATTTTGCAGTTGAAGGTGAGGATGGGTGAGGCATAAGAGAGTGGGCAGTGGAGCTGGTTGGTGGTGGAAAAGAGGAGCCTAGGATTGTTGTTGGCCTCCAGATTGTCTTGGAGTAGAACAATTTAGTGCAGACAAGGGTGGAGTGGTATGTTTTTATGAGGTCCAGCCAATCTACTGATGGACTGTTAAATTAGACTTGAGCTAAGTGGGTTCGGCAGCATGCACCTGAGCCTTGAGGAAACGGAGGTTGCTAGTGTACCATGGTCTGGAGGTTGTTCAGGAGGTGAGCGGGCAAGGGCATAGAGAGAGGTGGGGAGGGAGTTGTGGAGGAGAATAACCCAGGAGGCTAAGTCATTGTCGGAGGAAGCCCAAAGAGGGAGCAGTTCAGATGATTCCAGGGGGGAGAAGTTTTTCCACTAATAATAATCCTTGCTTTTGATATTGCACCTAAATATGTCTCCTAGATGTCTCAAAGTGCTTGATAGAAACACAGAAATCGATTACCCCCGGAAAGTAATCCACTAATTGACTAACCAGGTTCCGATTTACTGCTACATTAACAGAGGCGTGTGTTTGTAATAAGGAAACTAAGATTTTGCCCCGACTGGGAATCAAACAAGGGTCCTCGTGCTTGCGAGCCTGGCGCTCTATCTAACCAATTCAACAAAACAACTTGCAATGATATAACACCCTTCACGTTGGGATAATATCCCGGAGCACTTGACAGTGGTGAAGTCTGACAATGAGCCAGAGGGAGATTGAAGATGACTGTAAGCACGATCAAAAAGGAAGCTCTTTAGGATTTGAAGGTGGGGGAGGTGGAGGGGGCAAGACGGAGGAATCGAGGGAACGAGTTCCAGTTTTTTGGGGCATAGTGACCAATGGTGGAGCAGATGGGACAAACAGGAGCCCGGAGCCACCTAAGTGGAGGCAGCAGGTTGTGGAGTGGGGGGTAAGCAGGTTGGAGAGGGAGGGAGATGCGAGGGAATTAAGTGATTTGAAAATGAGTGAGAGGATCTTGATATCGATCCATTCGGTGATTGGGAGCAAGTGGAGACAGGCGAGGGCTGGGGTGATGGGGGTACGGAGTTTCGTGCGGGTTAGTATGGTGGCAGAGCTTTTAATTAATTGGATTGTGTGTATGGTGGAGTTGGGGAGACCAGATAGGGAGCCATTGGAATAGTCCAGCCGGTAAGTCCAGCTGACAACGGTGTAGACAAGGGTTTCAGCTGCATTGGTTGTGAGGTACGGATGGAGGCTGGCAGTGTGGTGAAGGTGGAAAAAGGAAATGTGGGGTAGAAAGTAAAGCTGGGATTCAAACCTGACACCTAAGTTATGTATGGGTTTGGGAAGTTTTGAGGGAGAGCCCAGGGAGGTTGAGGAGTTCAGACCTGCAGGAGAGAATACACTTTGGCTTCTATCAATATGCTGCAGGATTCCATGTTGTTACGTTTGCTTTGGGATGTGAAAGGCGCTCAATAAATATAATTTTGTTGTTCTTCTTATGGGCCGGTCAGCCCAGCCTTGCATTTAGCAGCCTGCCAGACAGCCTGAGCGGGCAAAGGAGAGCATTCCTCAGCTCCTGTTTGAACTTGGACTGGGTGAAGGTGTACAGACAAGTGTTGGTGCTGGAGCTGACCAGCAGCAGCAGAAACCCCATCTCCTGCAGCAAGTAGGCTGATTCCCCAGTGCCCGGTGAATAGCTGAAGGTGCGTGTGAGGCGATAGTAGAGCATGTGAGCCAGGTAGGTGGACCAGAGGAGGAAGAAGCCTGCGGAAATGGTGAAGAGAGCCACGATTGACTTCTGTCTGTTGTTCCGCTCTGTATCCACCATCCGCCCCTGCCTCAACCTCGCCCGCACCCGGTTAGCAAATAGTATGTGCCTGACGGTGAGGACGTTGAAGAAGAGGATGAGGAGAAATGGGACACAGGGAGTGAGGACACGGTTAAGCCATGAGAAGGCTATCCAGTGAGAAGTGGTGTAATACCTCAGTGTCAGCACACAGAACCAGGGCACGTTGTTGACAATCTTCTCAGGCTCCAATGCAAAGTACCAAAGAATATTCTTTAGGCCAAAGAAGGTATAGACAGAGATCGCTACCAACCTCGCTGTCCTGGCTTGGCAATATCTAACACTCAGCGCCCCACAGCAGATAGCAATGTAGCGATCAAATGTGAAGGCCGTTGTGAGCCAGACTGAACTGTCCGTCCCCACATAGACTAAAGCCACGTTGATTCGGCAGGAGGGGCTGATGGACAGGAAACTGTTGGGGAAATAAAGGCTTTGAATGCGGTTTAACACTACAGCAAAGACCAACACCAGCAGGTCAGATGTGGCCATCCCAACCAGGTAACAGGTGATGCATTTGGACAATCCGCACCTGCCCCAGGAAAGGACACTTATGACGGCGAGGTTTCCTGTAACACAGAGAGAGGGCAAGAGAGCCAGGACAGGTGTCAGTGCTCATCACCAGTTCAGCCCACCCTCCATCTCGCATTTCGCCCACAACATACACAGGAGCTCCACATTACAGTGTGTATATACATATAGAGAGAGAGAAAGAGAGAGAGAAAAAGAGAGACTGAGAAATAGAGAACGAATGACGGGGAGAGAGAGAGATCGATTGAGAGAGACTGAGAATAGAGTCTTAGGGATAGAGACTAAGAGATAGAGAGAGAGAGACCCAGATACTGAGATGAAGACTGAGAAATATTGATTGAGATCCAGAACAACAGAGTAGACACCTCTATCTCTTGAGGTGTCGACTCAAGGGATAGAGACACTGATAGACAGAGAAGGACTCGTAGAGAGACACAGTTGTAGATTGACACAGAGGCTTTGAGACAAAGAGTCTGAGATAAAGAGACTGAGAGAGACAGATACACACACTCGAATAGGGAGACCAAGAGACTTAGATAGAGACAGATAGAGAGACTGATAAAGGGACAGACATGGAGATAGAGAAGGAGATGGAAAGACTGAGATAGAGAGAATGAGATAGAGACTGAAAGAGAGAAACTGAGATATGCTAATAGAGACTGAGAGAGAGAGAGAGAGACTGATATAGACAGGCAGAGAGAGACTGATGCAGATGAACAGGTATATAGACTGAAACAGGAAGAGAGACTGGTAAAGAGGCAGACGCCAAATAGAATCGGAGAAGGAGGGACTGAGATAGAGACACAGAGAAAGACTAAGCAAGAGATAGTTAAAGACTGAGATAGAGACTGAAAGAAAAACTGAGGGAAACTGAAAGACAGGCAGAGACTGAGAAATTGAAGGCGAGATAGTGACACTGAGAGACACAGTGGGAGAGAAAGGGAGAGAGGGAGAGAATTGACCCATATAAACTGAGAGAGAGTTTGATAGAAGTTGAGACAGAGAGTATGGTAGAATCAGAGAGAGAGAGACTGATAGAAACAGAGAGAGAGAACGAGAGAGAGAGACTGAGAGTGTGGGAGAGATAGAAAGAGATAGAGAGAATGATAAAGTCACACAGAGAGACAGAAAGAGAATAGTCCAATAGAAACGGAGAGAGAATGATAGAGACAGGGAGACTGAGAGCAGATTACACAGTGACTGACTTACCAGGAATGCCAATAACTGCGAGAACAGGATAAATGACAGCAAATAGCTGCCCTGTGACAGGGCCGTGCATAGTGCAGGGAGCTCAAACCTTCTCCCTCATTACCCCAGTCACTCCGTCAGTCATTCACTCCCTCACTCACTCAATCATTTTCTCAGTGTGAGTGTGGACAGCCTTATACTAGTGTCAATCAGTCTGTCCGTGTGGGTGCGTACACACTGTATATAGTCAGAGCGCTCCACTGTAATTGGACTAAATCACTTCCACTTGTCTGAACAAACATATTAAGCAATCATATTGACGTTGACACAAGCTGTCAGCTGGGTTTCCCCAGACTCCATTCCTTATTCTCCCTTCTCTCCCTCACCCACTCGCCCACCTTGGAGTCACTGAGGGCACAGTAGAGCCTCATATTGCTGGGGGAGTGGCACCTTGTCAGAGGCAGCATCTCTGGGACGAAATGTTCAACCTCACTCACGTGCCCTGTTCAGGACAGATGTTAAAGATCACCCACTGTTAGGAAAAGAGAAGGGAGTTCCACTCTCTCTCAGTGTCCTGGCTAACAATCCCCCAGATAAAATCAATCATTCACTTCACGGCTGTTTGCGGGGACATAGATCTGCACAAATTAGTACCATGTTAAACACACAGTCACTACTTTACAGCGAAACTCTGCAAATCACTTTGAGATATCCTCCCAGATCTTAGATTATAATTGATTATAACAACAGTGGCAGAGGCTGACAACAAGCCAGAGAAGGGGGGGAAGGTGACCATAAGCACAATCAAAAAGGAAAGGTGTTCATGGAAAATGGAATATGAGGGCAAACTAGTGAGGAACATAAAGACAGACTGCAGAGTTTTTACAAATATATAAAGAGGAAGAGGCTGTCAAAGGTAAATGTGGGTCCGCTACAGGCAGAGATGGGGGGAATTATAGTAGGGGACAAAGACATGGCAGAGTCATTAAACAAGTACTTTGCTACTGTCTTCACCTTAGGAGACACTGAAAACCAACCAAGAATAGAGGGGAACCAAAAAGACAATGTTAGTGAGCAACTTGGGGGAATTAATATTAGTAAAGAAATGGTTTTAGGTAAATTTCAGGTCTTAAAACTGATAAATCTCCTGGACCCGATGGCCTACATCCGAGGGTTTCAAAAGAGGTGGCCACTGAGATAGTGGATGGCTTGTCTTTGATCTTCCAAAATTCTCTGGATTCCGGACCGGTTCCCATTGATTGGAAGATTGCAAACGTAATACCACTATTTAAGAAGGGTGGGAGAGAAAAGATGGAGAACTATAGACCAGTTAGTCTGACATCAGTGGGAGCGAAAATTCTTGAGTTCTTAATTAAGGATGTCATTATGGGATTCCTGGAAGACCATAACAAGATGAGGCAGAGTCAACACGGCTTTACAAAAGGGAAGTCATGCTTAACTAATCTTTTAGAGTTTTTTGAAGGTGTATTGAGCAGGTTAGATAGGGGGAACCAGTAGATGTAGTATATTTAGATTTTAAAAAGGCATTTGACAAAGTGCCACACAAAAGGCTATTGCACAAGGTTAAGGCCCACAGGATTAATGGGAACATATTAGCATAATAATAATAATAATAATAATCCTTGCATTTGATATAGCGCTTTTCGCGTCGGGAGGACGTCCCAAAGCGCTTCACAGAACATACTGTAAAGTGAATTGACTGTATATTTGTGGGCGAACGCGGCAGCCAATTGCGCACAGCAATGTCCCACAAACAGTCGTAGATTGAAAATGACCAATTTATTATTGTTTTGGGTTTTGGAGGGACTATTATTAGGCTCTGTGTGGAGTAAGGAAACTTGCCCAAGGTTTCGCCCTCTGCCTGGAATTGAACTCAGGTCTCTCACTTGCAAAGCGGGTGCTCTAACCACTGAGCTACAGGACTCCACAAGCATGGATTGAAGAGTAGCCAACGGGTAGAAAACAGAAAGTAAGGATAAACGGGTCATTCTCGAATTGGCAGGAGGTGACTAGTGGAGTGCCACAAGGATCAGTGCTTGGGCCTCAGCTATTTACAATTTACATCAATGATCCAGACGAGGACATTGAATGTAACGTGTCTAAATTCGTGGATAACACTAAAGTAGGTGGGAGAGTAAGCTCTGAGGGTGATGCAAAAAGATTGCAACGGGATATAGATAGGCTCGGGGAGTGGGCGAGTAGGTGGCAGATGGAATTTAATGTGGGGAAGTGTGAAGTTATTCACCTCGGTAGAAAAAACGGAAACACAGATTATTTTCTAGAGGGGGAGAGATTAGATAGTGTTAGTGTTCAGAGGTTTGGGTGTCCTTGTACACCAGTCTCAAAAAGTTAGTTTGCAGGTGCAGCAGCAACTAAGAAGGCGAACGGCATGTTAGCGTTCATTGCAAAAGGTTTAGAGTACAAGAGTAGGGAAATCTTGCTGTAACTGTATAGGGCCTTGGTGAGACCGCATCGAGAGGATTGTGTGCAGTTTTGGTCCTTATTTAAAAAAGGACATACTTGCCCTCGAGGGGGTGCAGCGTAGATTCACTCGGTTAGTGCCTGGGATGAGGGGACTGACGTATGAGGATAGGCTGAATAAACTAGGGCTATATTCTCCAGAGTACAGAATAATTAGGGGAGATCTTATTGTAACATATAAGATTGTTAAAGGCTGAGGGTCTTTTTCCCCGGTCGGAGAATCTATAACAGGGGTCACAGTCTGAAAATTAAGGATCAGCCTTTTAGAACAGAGTTGAGGAAACATTTCTTCTCTCAGAAGGCAGCGAATTTATGGAATTCACTCCCCCAGAAGGCTGTAGATGTCAGTCCTTGAACATTTTCAAGGCTGAGACTGATAGATTTTTAAAAAACAGGGATTAGGGGATATGGGGATAGGGCAGGTAATTAGAGTTAGGTCAGAAGATCAGCCATGATCTTATCGAATGGCAGGGCACAGGCTCGAGGGACCGAATGGCCTACTCCTGCTCCTAATTCTTATGTTCCTATGTTCTTATGCGAGGATGGGGGTGATAGGGTCATGGAGCCTGGTGCAGGAGAGGACACGGGCTGCAGAGTTCTTGATGATCTGCAGCCTATGGAGGGAGGCATTGAGGAGGCTGACAAGCAGGGATTTTGTGTAGTCGAGCCTAAATGTTATGAATACATGTATGAAAGTTTTAGCAATCTGCTGTGTGAGACAGTGGTAGAGCCTGGCAATGCTGCGGAGGTGGGGGAAAGTAGAGCAAGACATGGCACAAATGTGGGGTAGAAAGTATATTTGAGGGTCAAACAAGACGCCAAGGTTCCAGACTGGCTGATTAAGATGGAGAGTGCATCCATGGATGGTGAATTTGAACTGAGCAATGGTAGGCCCATGAAGATTGAGCTGAGAGGAGAGGTGGTGGAGGAGGATAGAATGATCGACCGTGTTGAAGGCAATAGAGAGTTTGAGGAGGACAAGGAGGCAGAGAGAGCCCTGGTTGCAGGTGAACAGAGTGTCATTATTGACTTTGACCAGCGATATTTTTATGCTGTGGGCAGAATGGAAACCTGATTGATGGGGCTCATAGAGGGAATGGCTGGAGAGGAAAGAGCGAAGCTGGGATGCGATGACTTGTTCCAGGGTCTGGAATGTAAATCACAATCAATTTACAGGTAACATGGAGCAGACTGAGTGGAGGGAGCAGACAGGTTGATATGGCATTAGCAGGTGACAGAGGTAGGAAGGCACAAGGCCGTGGATGGCTTTGAAAGCAAACATGAGGATTTTTAAATATATAACTTAGGACTTGATCCTCTAAGAGTTGGGAAGCCAGTGAATCCGGGTCGTGGTGATAGGTCAAGGAGCCTGGTGCGGGTTAAGACACGAGCTGCACAATTCCGGTGTCAACGTCATTGGGGACACAATGGTGAAAGGAGTAGATAGGCATTTCTGCAACTTAAGAAGTAACTCTGACATGGTATGTTGCCTCCCTGGTGCCAGGGTTGAAGACATCATGGAATCTGTGCAAAACATTCTACAGGGGGAAGGGGAACATCCAGAAGTCATGTTGGGATCCATGACGTAGTGATAAAAAGAGCTGAGATCCTACAGGGAGACTATCAGAAGCTGGGGAAAAAGCTAAGGAGCAGGATCTCAAAGTTGCTTTGGGACGTCATTCTGTCAATGTAATTTTGTTGTTCATAGAATCATACAATTGTACAGCACAAAAAGAGGCCATTTGGCCCATCGAGTCGTGCCGGCTCTTTGAAAAGAGCAATGCAATGTCAAACCCACTCCCCAGCCCTTTCCCTATAACCTGCAAACCCGTCCTCCTCAA